CTTATCCAATCTAAAATAAAGCGTTACTAAACCTGTTATGTCTAAATTATCTCCCGTGACCCCAACAACCCTAGGAAGAATGTCTGACCTAGTATTGTAGTCACAAATATCTTTCTTATCAAGTTTCTTAAAGATCCAATAATCTAAGACACTGATATCTGCTCCAGAGTCCACTAATGCTGTGATAATTCTTAAAAACCCAATAGAAACGTCACAGAATAAAATACCAGTTTTCTTTGAAATTTGTGGGTGTAAGATTTCGGGATCTGGTTCCCACCCACTAGGAACAGATCCATTTAGTTTCCCGCACCCTTCCGGCATTCTCTGACCATATGTCCAGCGCGACCACAATTCTTGCATATGGGCTTTCCATCTGGTGTCCATTGGAAATTGTACACATTTCGCTGGGCCTGGTGGTTGCGTTGAAACCTATGCGAACTGGATGGTTGCACTGGTCCTTTCATTAGCCGTTCAAATTTATTAGCGAGCGCGGTTTGCTGATCTGATAGAATTTTTAATTTGGATTCCAGTGATGATGGCTTTTCTACAGATGTCGAATCGACCTCCATTGGCTCAGCGGTGTTAGATCGTCTTCGCTCTCGAGGTGTGTGAAATCGTGGATGCTTTTTTGATTGCAAGATCAAATGTTGTCGGTGAGTCTTTTAGGAGTCCTCGAACAATGGAATCTTCTTTCATTCCATCGATAAAGACATCGATCAACATGGATTGTACCATAGGGTTGTCCATATCGTCCTCGGCCAATGACCGAAATGCGGTCGGCATAGCCCTGGACAGTTTCTGTCGATGTTGGCCTTACCTTTTTCAATTTTTGCAAACAGTATTTTGAGTCTAGCACATCCCCGAATCGCTCCTTCAGAGTCTGTTTGAGGACATCCCACCCTACATTTGGGTTACTTTTTAAGAACCTTGTACAAAATTCTCCGACTATTCCGGACGAACGTTGAAGTACTAGCGACCTCATTCGAGAATCATCAGCATGAACGAAAACTTGTGCCTTTTCAAGGTCCTTTAACCTTTCACTAAATTACTGAAAACTTTCCCCAGTAAAGAGACGCACTTGGTTTTGCAGAACCTGAGCCCTAAGTTCAAGCTTCAGGTGTCTAAAATTCGTTGATGTCCGTTCCTTTGTAAAATCAAGTCGAAATCGAATTAACTATCCCGGACAAGCCCCCAAAAATAGTTGTAGCAAAGGTGGTGAATAATCAACTATTGTTACTTGATTTTACAGTTTTTTAATTTCCTCCCCCGATCTCTCTATTCCCCAGACCTCAAAAACCAACTAAATACGTTAAATAGTTATGTCCTTCGTCTGTCAGTTCCAAATCCAAAAAAACCAAGATACTGCCCAACTCAACGTTTCCCTTTTTATAAGATTCCTTTCGATATGTCCAAGGGTTGATTCCTTTATGGGAACATTCAATTTTGTCAGAATATAATTGGCCGAAAATAAGGTGAAACGATGAGTAAGGCATTTTAGTTAGTTATGAATTGATTTATATTATTGACTGATAAGGGTGATCAGGGTCAAGGGGCCTAGAGAGACAATACAATAAGATAATAATATAGAATTAATCAATATGCACCTTACTGCAGACTTTGTTACAACTTTATCAACGATGAATATTTCGTTTGTCTAGTATCCAATGTAACCTTTTTCGAATTTGCTTTTATATTTGAAAATACGAACGCGATCTCCAACTTTAAATTAGGGTTTAATATTTAAATTATTCATTTCATTTTTAAAATGATTACGGGTATAAGAAAACTTTATAATAACTGGATTTTGACTAGCTTCCATTGGAGAAACACCGATGGAAGAATGAATTTTAGTATTATATTCTGATATTACAGTGGGTAAAATCTTTAACCATTTTTGAGACTTTAGTTCTGTGAATTTTTTGAAAAGTTTTGATTTAAGCGTCCTGTTAAATCTTTCTACTACTACAGCTTTTCCCTCGTTATGAGTACTGTAAATTTCAATTTCATATTTTTATTATAAAATTCGCTTCCTTTATCTACCCACAGTTTTTCTGGATGTCGGCCAGATTGTTTCATGATCGTTTCAAAAGCATGTTTGACTGATAATCCTGTTTTGTTTTTCAAAGGAATAACCCAAGCATATCTTGTATACAAATCTATAACTGTCAAGCAATATTTATATCCTCTTTCGACTGGCATATTAATTAAATCGGCTGACTTTTAAATTTCTAAATTCTTTATGAATTTCATCCGCCAATCCCATACCCAATTTCATCTTTGCTTTTAACAGTTTTAAGATGAGAACCTTTTGCATTCTCTCTTTGAAAGTTGGATTTGGAATATTTTCAAGTTCGATTATCATTTGTCTGTCTGCTTCGTGTCTGAACTTTATGTCTTTGTTTCTGTATAAAATATCGTGTTTAAGCGCAGCTGCATCAACTCTATTGACTGGTTCTTGGCCCAGTTTGGGTTTATCGTTTTCGTCTATTCGCAGATCTAACCTAGTACCTGGACCAGTGTAATATTGACCGGGAAGATGTTTTTCTCCAGGATATTTTGCCCATGGAAATCCAGGAAGAGAGCCTAATGATTTTTGTATATCTGAACCGAAATAAGTTTTTGGAGCGTGAGCGACTAGCATTTTTATCCTATAACTTTAAAACCTTTTCCTTTCCTTTCTTCTAGTCTCCTATTACGTAGTTCTCTTATTAGCTGTAATTCTTTCAACTCGTCAGATTGTTTCACTGCGTCGCTTATACTCTTTCCCGCTTCCGCGATAGATCCTATAGCTTTAGCTTCGGATGAAATGAGGGATTTGTTGTTTGAAACAAAGCTAGCTACGTTTTGGAATTATTTTTGAACCTACAGAAAATATTGATGAAAAGATACCGTCGCCTGAATAATCTTCGAAATTCTGTTGTTCGTGTTTTAAAATTAAACTCATCCTATTTTTAAATGAGTTAATTTAACGAAGAAATTGTGGTCTGTTTTTTCAAACAAGAGTTATCTTCCTTCTAGAAGTTTCTAGAAAAAGAACTCTGTGAAAACGAGGCTATAAACCGGATATTATTCAATCAAGAAATAATTTTTGTAGGTAAGGGAAATATTTAATATGCTCTGTTATTTTTCGTTAATTATTCTATCTAATGAGGGAGTTATAGGATTCTGATTAAATTTTTTGATAGTTTAAGATGTTGGACAGAGAATGTGTCTTTTTTAAATTGTGTTTTTTGCGATGATTTACGAGTGTTTTGTGTTATGTCCTATATACATCTTACTGCTAATGGCCGCTAATTTCTACAAAATATGGAATTTGACCCCATGCTGCTACATGGGGTGTAATCTCATAAACTTGTCATTAACAATTGGTTCCATAAAATTCTTGATGACCTACACACATTGGTATCAGATTACATTCTCTGAGTTGAAAAGTTGTATGCTAAGCGTTCTATTCTTGTTTAAAGCTATAAATAGCTTGGTCACAATTTGCAGCCATAAAACTCCCAGAATCTGTGAGAGTTTAAATAATTGGTTAATGTATTCAGAGTAGCCAATTAAAAACTAGTATTCCAAATCTTAATTTCGTTGTAGGTTTAAGTTCTTGTAGCACAAGTGATTCTGATTGACTATATGTTTAAAACAAGTATTGTTGAGCTCTTATTTAACAAAACTGGAGGCATGGCAGTTGCACAAAATAAATTTTTGAACTGGCTGCTCACATGTAGTTTATCATCAACTCCAGGGTCTAAAGTAAATTTTTTTTTCTACGAGGTAAAAATCGAATAAACGATTTAAAAAGCAATTTTTAATACCAAATTTCTGTTTTGTCAAGTAAAATATATGATTTTTTTGATGATTTTTCTGTGAGCGTGTTATTTTTTTTCAATAAGGTGTGAAAATTATCTAAAGGTATCAATATTCCACACTCATCTTTGAAAAAATGTTTTAAGAATCCTAATATGAAAGATTTATCTTTTATATAGTATTTTTTGAAGCTTAAATTCGGAAAATTATTTGCAAAATTGTAGATAGCAATATCCTGAACATACTGTTGTCGATATATATTTCATTTTTGACCATTGGTATTTTTTACCTTCAAAACAATTCTACCTTTTAGAATAAACATAAAATTTAAATTGTCAATTAGAGTATTTATTCATCAGTGGACTTGTCTTATGCAGATTTATGACACCAGTTAAGCCCACTGATGAATATATATTCCTATAAGCCAAATCTGAGAAGAACTTCTTGATGATTCATAATTGAAAAAATCTTCTATTTCTGTTAAAAACTATCAATGAAATATTTTTTTTATCAAATATTCCCTAAATTTAAAAAAATAACGGTTTCTTTCTAAACATGACATCATGTCCTCATCATTCCTTACAAAAATAATACTTACTAGATTATAATGAGATGATTTATAGGGTGTTAAGAACATTGTTGACACATTGTTTACACAGACCATTCCTGGTAATTAATTGCGTTCAACCTTGAAAATGGTGTGAACTCCAAAGAAGTAAAAATTTTTTAGCAATATGTGGGACTGTATAGTCAACAATGGCGTATTTACTTCCTTGTGTGATTGATTCATATACTACCACTATAGATTCATATACTATCACTACAGATTCATTGATAATAATATGAAATTTCAATGTATAATCTCATCATATAATCTCATCATATCATTTCATCTAATCAACTTCTGTAGTGGTATATCCCTTGTTAATTTCTCCGGGGGGTGAAATACGGTATTGTTGACTTTATAGGTTTTAACATGCACACTCAGTCGATCATCTAAGAAGCATTCAATTTGAAAAAAATACTTCCAAACTTTGATATTTTGAACTGTTAAAATTCTTTTTTCAGTTTTCTAATGATTTCTTCTAGGGGAAAGAATGAGTAATAGAATAATTAATAATTTGGCCGAAATTAATTTTTTTCTGTGTGTACCATAGCCTATTATATGGACAAAGACTCGCCTGAAACATCCCTGTCTAACGTATACGGCCATACCACGTTGAAAACACCAGTTCTCGTCCGATCACTGAAGTTAAGCAACGTCGGGCTCGGTTAGTACTTGGATTGGTGACCGCCTGGGAACACCGAGCGCTGTAGACACCTATTTTCACGCTTGGATTTGCATTTTCACTCTTGGAAGGCTGAGTCTCGATCGCGTGCGGACCAATTAGACCAGTTCCTGGCCTGGACAAAATTTTTTGGCCGAAATTAATTTTTCTGTGTGTACCATAGCCTATTATATGGACAAAGACTCGCCTGAAACATCCCTGTCTAACGTCTACGGCCATACCACGTTAAAAACACCAGTTCTCGTCCGATCACTGAAGTTAAGCAACGTCGGGCTCGGTTAGTACTTGGATTGGTGACCGCCTGGGAACACCGAGCGCTGTAGACACCTATTTTCACGCTTGGATTTGAATTTTCACTCTTGGAAGGCTGAGTCTCGATCGCGTGCGGACCAATTAGACCAGTTCCTGGCCTGGACAAAATTTTTTGGACGAAATTAATATTTCTGTGTGTACCATAGCCTATTATATGGACAAAGACTCGCCTGAAACATCCCTGTCTAACGTCTACGGCCATACCACGTTGAAAACACCAGTTCTCGTCCGATCACTGAAGTTAAGCAACGTCGGGCTCGGTTAGTACTTGGATTGGTGACCGCCTGGGAACACCGAGCGCTGTAGACACCTATTTTCACGCTTGGATTTGCATTTTCACTCTTGGAAGGCTGAGTCTCGATCGCGTGCGGACCAATTAGACCAGTTCCTGGCCTGGACAAAATTTTTTGGCCGAAATTAATATTTCTGTGTGTACCATAGCCTATTATATGGACAAAGACTCGCCTGAAACATCCCTGTCTAACGTCTACGGCCATCCCACGTTGAAAACACCAGTTCTCGTCCGATCACTGAAGGTTTTTTTCTTTTTTTTTTTCCAATATAGGTCAGAAGATGGATAATTGTCCATTGACTTTGTATGGGATGACGTCATCGGGCCCCATCAGCTGGTTTAATTTTCCATTTGTTTCTGAAGCGCCCTGTAAACAGATTAACTAATACTGTTTGATATTGACCTGGTATACTGAATTTCTTTTATATTTTGTACAACATTGTTACGATAACATTTTCGTATACCCATTCATTATAAGGTTATTGATATCATTTTTAAAGGGAGATGCATACTGTTTATATTTAACCCTTAAATGGTATTGAGGTATTCTTATATCTAACGTAAATTATTGTGACCATTATCATCAAAGTCTCATTTTAAGGCTTGCGAGACGAAATAAACTCTAACTGCACAAGCAGACGGATAAATATATAATATACATGCCTTGAAAGACCATGATTCGACATTTGCGGGGTTGAATTGGGTCTTGAACATAAGTAAATAGTCTTCTGATTATATATTAGAAGAATACGCAACACATACAGATAAATTAATAGATTACGCACTACAAAGGTGATCAAACGAGTTATACAAGGTATAACAATACAACGGAATATATCTATAGTAATTATATTACAAATATGTTCTGTCAAATCTTTGAAATTTTAATGGGTTTTAAATCCGTTGCCTGTGTTAAAGGGACACTTATAGCTTTTTGTGTCAGCCTTTCATTTTAGTTCTCTGAGTGATCTTAACATAAGTTTTGGATTACAAATTGTTATTATGACATATTGGATTCAGTCGGCTTTTTGCAAGGGATTCAGGCCAACCTGTATATGAAATATGAATTGAATGCCCAAATATAAAAGCGGAAAGTAGAACTGCTCTGAATAATCAATGTGATTAACATCCAGATATGAATGTATAGCTTCGTCTCTTTTCTGTAGGTTACTACGCTTACCATCTTCTTCTAAATCATGTTCTGAGGAATTTTTAAAAAAGTGGTCATATTTCAGCAAACAATTAACAATATTAATAACTATTATTATAACGAATAATGTAAGACAATGAATATTTGTGAAAAATACCATATATATATATATAGGGTTGTCATCAATTCTTTTAAGCCATTTTCGAGAGAACAAGTTGTTATTTAATCCATATTCAATTCATATATACATAATATCTTAGCATGCTTTCAGCTTAATAGTAGCTTCTTCAGAGATATAAAATAATTTTAACTTTCAACAATATATACATTTCAGAGGTAACTATTCAAAACAAACAATGAATATCATAGTTACTCCCTTATGCACGATAGCAAATAAAACGTGTTGAAACTAGTTAAAAACCATATATATGTATTATTTGTATGTGCCTATGCACTCTTGAAATATTTCCTTTCCATTCGTATTCGTAACCAATCACTATAGGTTTAACAATGAGTTGTCAATATCTTCATATAGGCATGGGTTCTTTTTTTTAGAAATCAGCCAAACTATGCTTTCAATTCAGTAAAATATACAGTGCAATTAATACCCTATTTTCATGTCTTATTGCATGTTTGTAATCTATTAATATCTAGTTACGCTAACTTCACAATGAAGTTAATGGTATAATATTTAAAAGACTATTAAGCCGCTTTACATTTGAGTTAAAGATGGGTTTCCTTATTTTTAGTGTCGAATTAAGCACACTCTATGATTAATTGGTGTTTCTAGTGAATCATCATGTATTTTTAATCATATCATTATGTTCTTATTGTACAATTAAGAGTTTTAACCAATCATTTATGTCCATGTACGTACAGTATGGAAAAAAAAAGATTTTGAGACCTTTCTTGGTCGGTCACTTATTGAAATTCTGCTGGTAATTCTCTTATAATTTAGCTAATTACGAATTGATCATGTGAGACAAACTGGTATTTTTCGCAAGTCATTAGAACACTTCTACCTTCTATTCTTAAAAGAATGGGCATTTTCATTAATGAAAATAAGGGAACCCATCTTTAAATAAAACTATATATTATGGTGAAAGCATTTTGAAAATTTGACAAAGAAGTCACAAGCAAAATCGTAAATGTATTATCCTATCTATAGACATACTGAAAATAAAAGCAAGAATGATCTTACAATTTTAATTTTTTTTTTTATAAATCTTGTTTATTTGAAGCTTGTGCATCCCCCCTCCCCCTCTCTCCCTTTATGATATAATTTGTCATTATAAATATGAAAACATCTTTTCCGCTTACCGTCGGAATTATATTATATTAAACATTAAAAAAGTGAAAATAACACTATATGCCTACTCTCAAAACAAATTTGGCAAATTTAAGCCATTCAGCTTAAACTTAAGCCAATCAGTAATAGAGTTCACAGCTCACCTTTGAAATTTGAGCCTTCAAATCCACGCGTGTCCAGAATTATTTGCGTTTGAAAGTTAAAAAGACGAGTCTTCTTTTCTTGAGACACTGCCATATATAGAAAAGACATATAGAAAAATGAAAAGAAATTATACTAGTTTGAGATATTTTTGAAGGAATTATGCGATATTCATACATTCCTAGAACTTCTGAAGACTTTGGAAGCAATACATCCAGATGGAGTTGAAAACGAATCCTCACATCAAACTTAATGCTGATGATTATTTGTATCATCTGGATCTTGAGACAAGTAAGCTGGATTTTAAAAAAGAATTCAACGATGTGAAGGTAGGTGTGGAACATTTTGTATAATTATATTCAATACAATTCAACGTGAATATGAAACCAATGCAATATATATTTAATGCTTGTATTTTTATCAAGGCCAATGGCAACGACAGCCTCCCAAGACTATGGGTATAAATGGGGGCAGATTGATTTAATGGGGGAAAACTGTCGAATTTGATATTCAAAATGCTGCAGATCTGTGGAGCGCATAGGCGCATACCCCCATATAACTTCTGATAGAGTACTCCCCAAAGAAAACTATTGAAAAATAGAATTGATTGGTGCTTTCTGACACATACAATGTGTGAAACTTTTGTATTGGCACCATTTTGCAATTATTTCCAAAACAATTCAAAGTAGTCTGGACCATTAACCATTACAATATAACTTTCGTTTTTTAGTTTGTGTGCATAGGGGGTTCACCAACGCGAATGTTGAACTTTGCTAAATTTATGAGTAAGCAGTTGACCGGGAATACAGAAGAGCCACGGAACTATGCCAAGGGAACTGATAGATATTGTTTATATAAGGCAGGACCAGTATTAATAGCTAATGTAAGTAGGCTGTAATAAAAATGGATAGGATGCTTCTGATCTAGTTCCATTTTATATTCAGATATATTTCGTTTGGTTATTCAGAACGTTACAAAAATACAGTTATTAAAGTATATTTTTTACAGGCTGGCATGAGCTTAATTAAGTATTCCACGATTATTACTTTTCAGAATGAGAAATAACATTAATATTTTTTTTAACTTGAACTGAAGAATAACCTAGAGGAGATCTTTGTTCAGAAAACGATTACACCTGGTTCTTGGATAGCTAAATATGAGCTCTTTACCAAGTCTGGTAAAATGCATAAGTCAGATGAATTTATCGATTTATATGTGTGTACATACACATAAGAAAAGTTGTAAAGAAGAATTCTTGATAGAGATGGAAATCTGCATATTATTATATAACATCATATAGGGGTTAACCGAAAGCCAACTTAAGCATGCATTATTGAATGAGCCAGTAAGACTGACTTTATAAACAATTTTGTTTTCTTCAGCATGGAATCGGAACAGCATCCTTATCAGTGGTGCTGAATGAGCTATTCAAACTATTATTCTACGCTCAATGTAGCAATGTTATTTTTCTCAGATTAGGAACTTGTGGTGGAATTGGTAAGTTTATCGCTCTTCCTTTTGACAGCTTTATAAGAAACTACCACCTTAAGTTTATTTCAATAACCGTGGCCCTGTGTGCAACAAGCACATGTTAAAAATCCAGCTTGATTTGCTGCGTCGCTTCCTTTCGGTTGTGATTGGAATTTGAGGAGTAGTACGAATAATTATGCTCAAGGTCACAATTTGGTGTTATTTAATGTGTATATTTTTGTTTCAGGTGTTGAGGGCGGCACTGTAGTAATTACTGATAAGGCAGTCAATGGTGAACTAGAACCTATATTTTCTTACGTAAGTAGAAAGAGATGCCTACATGACGAACCTAGTTACAGAGTGTCATAAGATGCAGAAAAGTTAGACCAGTTCCTATTGATCTCTCAATTGAACCTTTTCTTGAAGATTGGTTTCCTTGTAAGTTATTCGTTTTTCTCTTTCTTAAGGGAGGCGGTCGTGGTCGTTTCCATGATGTGTTTGTATAATACATGTATATCAAAATACTCAAAGATAAGAATCAGGAAAAATATGTCACTCATTTTAATATCTGAGTAATTATTAATAATGCCGTTATTTACGAATATGTGAGGATTAGAGATACATACCAATGCTTTTCAAGTCTGAATGTTTGTACGAACCCAATAATATTTCAACAGAAAACCTAATTATCTTTCCATGTCATTCCAGATGAAGCTTGGTAAAAGAATTAACTCACCTACTTATGTAGATTCTGATTTAGTAAACGAAATTTATAACTGTTGCAAAGACAATTTCAATGTTGCTCGTGGTACAACATGCTCAGTCGACTGTTTTTACGAAGGTACGTTTCTAATAAATGAATTTATCTTTAACCTCAGTTTAGCTTTAGCTCATGTTACAAAACGCGTTTTTACAGCCCTTCTGACTTGTATCTAGCGTAATGCAATATTGTCTAAATCATTTTATAGACCGAATGACAATCAATTCTGACGAAAATTGGTTTTATGTTTTTTTCAGCACAAGGAAGACTTGATGGTGCTCTGTGTGATTACTTTGAAAACGACAAGCAAGATTTCATCAAAAGACTTCAGGACAAGGGAGTTATAAACATGGAAATGGAAGGGCTGGGTTTGTTTTCTTATTGTCACAGAGCCGGCTTCAAAGGTATAATTTAAGCTTCTTTATATTTAGTTAAAGTTAGTTAAAGAAACTTCAAAATTTTTCATTACAGAAAATTCAAGTACACTTGCTTAAAAAATAGTGAAAGCATCCAAACATTTGTTTCGTATCAATTGTGTTGATAAAAGCCGTGAGAACGAACAAAAATGATTTTCTAGCAACATTATTGTGTGGCGATCACTGAATTCGAATCTTCTTTTTAAGATTATCTACTTGTTTAATTTGCACTCATCTATCTTTCAGCTGCCATGATAGCAGTAACGATAGTCAACCGTTTAGTCGAAGATGTACCAACATCTGAGATTGACGTTATAAAAGAATGGGAAGAAAGGCCATTTAAAGTAGCTTTACAATTTATAAGAAGTAAACTCTAAAAACGTAGTCGAAAAAACACGTGATCCAAATTACTTAACCCAATATAGTTCCTATTAATAAAGCTGTTTATATATAGTATTTTACTGATAAGCCTATAGCCTACATTAACTATGAATCTTTCTGCAATTAGACCAATTTGTTTTGTAAAACAAGAATAAACTAGCTATTAGTTTTATATAAATAAAATTATCCATTATCAGGAAAAGCAACTTATTGTCATACACTTTCCAATGAGCCCAATATGAAAAGCCATGGTTTATCTTTTGTCTTAATCTAAGCTTAAGATTCCCTAATTATTTCATCGTTAAAAGGGATAAGTTGGCCATTTTCGGGGGTTGATTTGGGTCTTCGAAGGTACTTCGCTTCATAGCTGAGCTTTCACGCTTGCTACGTTCGTGCGAAGAAAAACCCACCTTTTGAATCCTGTTGTGTTCGATTAACGCTACACAGGCCAGTTTATACCCCGCTTAGCTTCTATATCTTGACTAAGCGAATCTTTTGCTACACATCGCTTCGCTTCGTGATGTCAACACAAATTTGTCAACGCCAGTTGATTGCAAGGATCAAAGCGAAGCGAAGAAGTAGTACCACACTTTACTCATTCGCCTAACTTTAAAATGAACTCGCGAAGGTACAGCGAATGTGAAAATTCGCTTCATAGATTAGCTTTGGAGCTTGCTACGCCCAAGCGAAGAAAAACGCGCGCTCTTAGCGGAGTATATACTGGCCTATGAAGCGATAAGCGAACATAACAGGGGTAAAGCCAGAGAGTATAGATAGACGAGAGTTGTCACTCCGTCAAATATGCATTGCCGCCATTTTTTTTAGCATGGACTGTGGCGCCATCTAGTGGAAGGGTGTTCATGTGGATAGATAGTAGATAAAAAATACCTCAGCCGTCTGAGAGCAGCGGCAGGTATTGTCCTACTACAAATTGTTCGAATGACAAGAAACGCCACCCATACCTGCACTTTTTCCGATTCCTTAAAGACCCAAGCAGGTAAATAGATCGTTAATTTACAGTATACTTATACTGAGGAGACGTGCAGCTTGCGTCAACTAGACGATTTCTTTCTTTCTTGTCTTGCTTGATGATCCTCCATGATGATGGGTGCTTGACCTCGTTTTGTCCTTAGAATTAAACAAAATGTTTGATGCTTAATGTGATTTCATTTTTATTTTCTTATGTATTTGGTGTAAGAGATGGGTAATAAATTGCAGAAGGAAGGCTTTGGAAACAAAATCATCTGCATATCTAAATGCTAACTGCAGGCTCTGTAGCTGTCGTTTTGAGACACAAGAATTCATGAATGCCAATAGAAATAAGTTGGTCTGGAATGCTATTCCATCCATTTTCCCAGACCTCCCAAATCCACCACCACAGTTAACATCACAGCGCAAACCACCTGCCATGATAAACATCTCTATATTGAATTTGCCACAGATTGAAGAGGAAAAATGTCAAGTCCAGGTGCAGGTTATTATCAATTCTATTTTAAAACAATTCCTTGCTCTATTCCTACATATTCAAGGGGCAGACAGATACTTTGAGTTTCAACCTGAAAGCTTTACACAGAAAATCAGTACCAAGACAGCAATTTTTTACAGGCATTTAAAAACAAAGTCTAACCTCAATGAAAATATTTATTTAGATTTCGATTTATGTTTCATTTCAGATGCCAGAAATGGAGCACAATTATTCTGCTTCAACCGCAACCAAGATATGTCAGCATGATACTGCAGATATCAACTCGAAAGTATTGACAGATGTAAGTTTGATTCAAAATATTAAGAATTTTCAATGCATAAAGACCTATGAATTAAGTAATGAAGTTAAAGTTTACTCAAAATTCAATAAGTACCAGTTTTGTATTTGTATTTTTTGTGCGTGTTGCTTTTTCTTTTGGCGCCTACTCTTTTGCTACAAATTGTGTGATATTCAGTTCACCAATGACCCCGTTTTCTTTATATGTTTTGAAAACGTTTAAAATCGAATTTCAGAAAATTGTACAGCTACACACTGAATTGATCTCAGCACATCAAAAGCCAGAATATAATCTTTCTGCTGGGCAAATTGTGCAGGCTGCTGTGGATATTGGTATGAAACCAGCAACAGCAAATTTTTTTTTAGGGCCAGTTGAGAAATTGCACACGAAAAGAAAAAGGTTAGAAAAGACTTGATTGAATGGTATAATAAGTTATAAAAGCTTGCAAAAACTTGACACTTAATTTTGGCCATAACAGGTGACTCATGAGTTGACCAATAGATAATGGATTTTTGTGTGAAATGTTTTATTTCCAAGATTTAATAGGATGCATTCACTGATTGCAGAAACAAATCACCTACTACAATTTGCGAGTAATTTTTGAAGTAGTCTTCATAATGTCTAACATGAAAAAATATGGCTTATGTGTGTTTTTGTAGATGTTATAAATTGTTTTATGATCTTACAGGGTTTAGGTGGACTGTGAATGAGAAGGCAATGGCTCTTGGGATATACTTCAGGAGTAGGAAAGCTTATCAGACATTGTGTGCGTTATTTACGATGCCATCTGCTAGCACTCTCAACAGGTAGGTTATACTAGTGATTTTATATTCAAGACATATAGACACAACGTATTGACCAGAATCAGTTTAATTGTTATTGAATTATTATTCACATGCCACTGTTGAGGCACCAGTTTACTATATCCAATTTTTTTTACTTCAAATAAAACTAATTCAGTTCTTGATAATTTACATTAAGAAGTTTTTTTTTAGAAAGTTAAACACATTTTTTCGTGCATTTTTATGTTTTTTTTACATAGGTATGTTAGAGGTATTCCAAGTATACCAGGAGTTTCCAGTCGTATCTAGAGTTTAAACTGAGACTGACAGTAAATAGTTTTGCTCAGATATTCCTCAGCAATAGACTTAAAGATGGGTTTCCTAACAATTTTTTGGAGATTATAATAAAGTTAACCATTTTTTTAAAAATTATACTGTTAAAAAAATGTTGTTTCTCTATAATTGCAGGTGAACCTAGCAGTACAAGTTTGCCCACACACCGTCTATGCGGGTATGCATACCCTAGTGAGCTTGGGAAAGTTGGAACCCTCGGCTGCATCTACAGCAAATTTCCTAAAACAAATAAATGATATTTTTGACTTTTTGAATGTTCGAACAATAAGGGGAAATTCAACAAGCAAGCCAATTAAAGCCTCGGAGGAAGATATCTGTAAAATAGAAGGATTCAAGCAGACAGTTGGAAAATGGCGAGTGAAGAAAAATGATAAACTAATTGTACAGCCATGTTTTGATGCACTGTTGCTGTGTTTAAATGGAATTGATATGCTGTTAAGGGAACTATTATCTGAGAGTAATTTCAAATTCATACTAAGTGGTCGTATCAATCAAGACTGTTTAGAAAATTTCTTTTCACAAATAAGAGCAAAAGGCGGGCATAGATTCAACCCCTCAGCAATTGAATTTATCTATGCATATAGGTCACTTTCTTGTAAAATGTTTTTAAGCCCAATATCATCTGCCAACTGCATAAATGATCAAGATAGTTTGTTGATGTCTCTAAGTAGTTTTGTTTCAAGGGAAAGTAAACAAAGCAAACGAAAACTTGAAGAGGAGGTTGAAGAAAGGCCATCCAAAGTACCAAGGCTTGCCGTAGATATTCCTATTGAAGGCATTGAAGATATACCTATTGAAGGCATTGAAGAAGATATCCCTATAACTCTTGCAGTTGAAAATGTTCTGTGTTATGTTTCTGGTTTTATGGTGAATAAGCTGCAGATTAATGATAACTGTTCGGAATTTTTTAACAAGCTCACAATTTCTGATAATAATGTAGTGTCAGATTCAAATCTGTTTTGCCATTTTAAGGTATATAAACACAAAACCAACACTGCATTTGGTTCCCGAATAGTACCATCTGTTTCTTTGATATATTTATTCAAACGCATTGAACTTGTTTTTGAAAGAAACATTCACAAGAATATTTAAAAAAAATGAAGTGTTAGCCATCTTATTAAAGATTGTACAATGCGTAGTTCCGTACACTGTATTACAACTTTGTGACAAGCACTCCGACAGTGTTATAAAGCAATTTGTCAGCTATACCTTAGATGTAGGCTTCATTATTTTTGTAAATTTCAAAGTAGGGAACTGGAACAAAAGAAATGTAAAAAAAAAGTAGGAAAGCTTCAGTTGTTATGCACAAGTAGTAATGTTCTATAAGAAAAATGTGTTCAAAGCACTACACTGTATTACTAGACTACAGTTTTCACACAATTTGTCAAATCTGTCATCTTTACCTTTGAGGTATATCTGTGGTGTTTGTAACTCTCCCACAAGTCTATTTACATATATTCAAGACCTAAATCAACCGTCGAAACTACTGAATGTTTCCCTTTAATAAACAATGATAAATCTTATATCAAGTCTTTTTTTTTTTATTGAGATATATTATCTATTGGAGTGGCATGATAGCACATAGCTTAAAATAGCTATAAAAGTGTCTTTTTGTGATTATATTGTGGATGGATGTTATATTATAGGCTTAACTCTGATGCATAGGAGTAAGGACTGATATTTATTGGCCATAGGGAATAACATTTCATTGAGTGAAAGTCAGGAAATTTATCTGTAAGTCTTTGGTGTATTCCAGTATAGATGAAAACTTGCAAATCTAAGTTAAATAATCGTGTTGTAAAGCGAATGAAGCACTCTATGTTGGAGCACTGCAATCAACACCCTCCCACGAGATGGCGCCACAGTACATGAAAACAAAATGGCGCGAGCGAAGTGATCACTCTCGTCTATCTATACTCTCTGGTAAAGCTTAGAGCTGTGTTATAACAATGTTTGCCGGGATACTTCTTGACAACGCCATACTGACGTCAAAAGGAAATTTCTAAGATAAGACGTCTTCTTTTGCTTTGTAACGGAGGTGTTTGTCTAATCATATGTTATGCTAATCTTCTAGAAATGAAACTTTTTAAGAAATTGCAGAAGCGAATTCAGGGTATTCGACTATTTCGTCTTCGAAAATCGAGAAAAATTTGTATTTTAGTAGAACGGAAGGAACAATTAACCATGTCCATGGAAGAATCAAATCCAAAACAAAGGCAACGTCAACCAGCACTTTCTGAACTTAAACTTCAATCAATGTTGAAAACACCCTGTGAAAATGCAGCCAACAACATAATTTATCTGTGGAAGTGTGCTCAAAAAGAAAATCAGGTCCGAATTCTTAAATTCAGACGTAATTTTTCTCTGGATCGAAGATGCTTAAAACCACCAAGTGTCAGCCGCAAACCGAGAAAGTCTTCAAGCGGAACTCGACAGCGATCTCGAACTAACAGCAGAAACAACAAATTGCGCTGCAGGTCTGAACTTGAAAAGATAGAAGAGGTTTTACAAGAAGAAAGTAATTTGAACCACAGTGCAAAGGAGTCCGAATCTGATTCTTCCCAGTTGATCCCAAGATCTAAAAGTGACGAGAAATGTGATAGATTGGAGATTGAAACCTCAATTTTCGATTCTCAGAAGAAGGAGATATTTCTCAAGTTCATTCCAGTCGACAAAAATTATCAATTGATACGCAAGAAAATTGGGAATGATAGAATAGGGTCGAGTTGGATTGAGATACAGGCATGGTGCACTAAATATCAATCTAAACATCAGAAAATAAATCAAATTCGGCCAACAATTCGTAAAAGTCAAACACTTCTCATGACCAAGGACAGAAAGCCCAAGTTCACTATTTATGGTGACATTTTGGAATTCGGCAATCAAAAGCTGTGTGAAGAAACATCAGTTCGTGATGAAGAAATTTTGGATCATCCACGGTTCGGTTTTCATTCAAATCAAGAGTATTTAAGTAGCATTGAAACCAGTGCAGAATCCAGGGGCAATAGAATTCAGTTCAGCATAGCACCAGAGGTTTTGTCTTCATCCATTCAACTGTGTCACCAGAAAACAGAAATGATGCTATCGTGTTTAAGGACTTATTTTAAGGATTTCGCCGATATCGAAGTCATGTGGGTTGATTCACTTCGTAAGCATGTACCCAACAAATCTTTCAAGAGTTGCTTCCCTTCAAGCGTGGCTGAGGTTCTCAAATCACAGACGGCAAAGGCTCGAGCTGTTTTGTATGTTACTAAGGACGTGTCGATATTATTACGTCATCCTGATACTTGTTTCCTGTCAACTCTTGCGTTAACTGCCGGAATAAGTCGAGATCAACTAGTCATTCTACCATTTGATATGAAACCTCGATATTTCTCGGTTGTAAAGCGACGGTAAATTTATGACGGGACTTATTAGCACTACACTTCAGGCTGTCGAGAATAAACCCTTTCTTTCTAAGGAATTTTTCAGGTACTTGTATTTAAACAAATTTAATGAATTTGTGTCGACTCGTAATTATCTTTTTGACCATGTAATGGACCAATACTATTAAATTCGAACAAAATAATCGGTGACATGGTATTTTCCAACCAAATTCTGTTTCAATATTTTTTATAAGGTATCTTGAATATTTTCTTTATCCATTGGGATTAAATAGTTTCAATGTCCATTCGAATTTTAGGTGGACTTTTAACATCACCAACGTACTGTGAGATCTTGAAAAATCTGGTCACCTAACACTGGATCTCGATTTGATCATTTTGTTGCTTTAGGGTTTACCTATTGTGTAGGCGTTTACATTGCAAGAAAAGTTAGGCCTTCCGAGTTGATTTATCAGATTTCTGATGAACTGTGTTGAGACTGACTGGAGTGAATTGAATGCGGCTTTTACTTCTGCTTTTGTGCCCATTCTTGTGTTAATATGGTAAACGGATATGGTTAAATCAATAAGAATAACAAAATGGTTTATTTCACTGTTTTATTTTCGATGTATTTTTAAATTTTCATTGTACAACACTGTGATGATGTCATATCGTACATTGCATAATGACATGAGAAAATTAACACAGGTGCAGCTTACTAAATCTGTATTCAAAATCGTTCTTTCACTTCCTCAAATTTCAGGCACACAAATGCCTTCAAAATAAATTAAAAAATAACACAACGATTTCGACCAGAAACTGGTACAAAAATGCAAAAGATATATAAATTAATACTTAGATATAAACATATAAATGCCACATAAATTGTTCTAGTTTTGATTTTATGTAGGCAACTTGCAGATTTATTTAACAAATATAAGATCAAAACCCAATTGTCTCGTTCTTCATGGGTTCGGCCTTACAAAACGACCATAACTCAAAACAAAATCTATAACACTGCAAAAGCAGATAGAATGGCAAGAATATATGGCACTGCTTGAAACATCACATAGCAAGTATCTATAAAATTCCACACAACGGAATGCATAATGTTTGTCACCGCTAGACATCCTATCTAAGAAAAGTTTTTACCGAATATAAAAGTTTAAAAATATCACAGATCAAAATATTAGACACAACAAGTATCACAATGTTTGTTTCAATTGTTTAGGTCACAATTTCGTCACATCACCAGTGACAACATGATGAATGTCGACAGACGTCACCTTGGCTCGTTACTGGTGACCCCATGATCACCACGCTACTGCACGTCGATATTGGAACACGACTAGGTTTGACTAGTAACTCACTCAGGATAAGTTTGAAATTCAAATTATTCCAAATCTCTCGAGATGTTTTCTAATTATTACAGTTCGGCATCCTTCTAACACTTTTGTAACATGATTAGTGTCTACTGCGCATGTGTAATAATATTCACAAGTATGCTGCGCATGCCAATCTTTATCATGGGGCTGTACAGTTTCTTTTAACTTTAGATCACCACGTGCTATTTTCTGTAATGTAAGAAATGAAATGAATTAAAAAATCGTTCCTTATGCTATTATTACTAGTATTGCAATAAATCTAATTACTAATAACGAAATGAATTTGATATGATTCAAACAGTACATATATCCTCAAAAGAAGGCTTTGGTGACTAACTGCTACAAATTTTAAGGTATAATTGTAGTACAATATAGTCGTATAATGCTTAGAGCACACTTACCATAAACAGTTCCTTGATATAGACAGCGGTTTTGGTCACTTCCGGGTCAATATCTGGCCTTGACCTACTTTTCTTTCGACCTTGACCGCAACCTCCTGGATAGGAATCCATGAACTCTAATTTATCGTGATCTGAAATAATGAAATTGCTGTTTGTTAAAAGCAGAATTCCTGGATTATAATCATAAAAAGCAAACGATATTAAAATGATTAAAAAAAAAACAAGTAGAAATTAAAGAAAAAACAATGAATTGGAAAAAGACAAAGTATTTGTTCATCGTTTTCAAAATAAATTAATGATTTTGTAGTCTGAAATTTTGATGAAGCAAATTCTTTGCCCATAAAACTAATTATAACTAGTAACACAATGTCATCCAGACTAATGAATTGTGACAGAACGTTTAACGAGATTATAAAAAAAAAACGCTATACAAATGATAAAAAAAAACATTTTCATAGTAAACTGGACTGGACTTATTTTGCAATATAGTCGGACTGAGATATGTAAAAGCACAGAGTATTCTTCCTCTTTTGCAAGTGATACCAAATCTATATGGATATATCTGAATACATAGAAAGTCTATTACAATGTTTATAACAAAATACTTACTAGATGGTGTGAACTTGGTGTAATCGGGAAATACATCCGGGTATTGTTCGTGTAATTTCTGGATATCTCGGCCCTTGACAATCTTCTCGGCCAAAATGTCGATTTTGTTGATGAATAATAGTATCGAAACGTTGCGAAGAAACCTGAAAAAAAGTAAACATCAAAATTAGTTTTCGTGATTTTCGAAAAGTGTTTGATCAGTTTGTAAAATTGTTGTGTTTTAACTTCTTTTCTTCGATGCAACAAAAACAAAAACTTAAGATTTCTGACCGAGTTTCAAATCAAAGCGAGTAATATTCAATGCTCCCCCATGTTTATAATGTTTTGATTTTTTCTTCTGTTTTTCTCAGCCATAAAGGTCAAAGAATGCAGTAAGGGGATTTTAGTAAAGTAATTAATTATGTTGTAAATGTCACGGGTTTTTTTATATAGATAAAGATACTGTAAACACAATAATCTTTTACCTGTTATTCCAGACTTGTTCAAATATTTCCAGAGATTCTAATAATCTGTTTTTCTGAGAATCTTCGAGTAAATTCTGATCGAAAGTGCTAGCGTCTGCTACATACAAAATGGCAACCACAGAATCGAAAACTTGGATCCATTTTTTCCTTTCGCCCCTTTGACCACCAACATCATATACACTGGAATAGAGAAAATAAATCATGAATAATAATAATAATATACTGGTTTCGATCTTTATTCCAATCCTCGAATCCTCCAATCATCACATATCCCGAGTTAATTTGGTTCATACCACAAGTCAATTTAGCACAAAATACTCTCTCTGTTGTCGTAATGTTTGGTTGTTGTCTGTATTTTATACTAGAATGTTTGTGTCAATATATGTCAATTTTAACCTAGGGCTTTATGGATTATATAAGATAAAAGTGAAACCGAACACAAGTCAAAAATATGCTTCAACTCAAGATATGACAACCCAAATTCCTCGAATTTTTATTCAAAATCAGTTGTCAATCTTTTTCTGATAACCTCATATTTTACAAATGAAATAAAAAAAAATGTCAAACAACAAGCTTTCTAATCATGTGTTTGAATTGTCCCCTGGATTGACCAATTAGTTATGTTGACCCAGGAGACAACTTTTACTTAGATAAGATAACACTGATGATCAGTGGGAACTCGGGGATTGTTCGCATTTTGAGGAATATCGTCATCGTTAGTCAATAAACACGACACATTTGTGGGTTCTGCGTAGGGGTGAAAAATCAACTCACCTAAATTTGACATGGTTTCCAGCATCAGGAACCTTGAACTCGATGTTCTGTATCGATGTTGTTATAGCTCGGCATCGTAAAATATCTTGATCGCTAGGGATATAATCGTCTTTTCTTATCTCTTCTAGTTTATCAAGAAAGCTGAAACAGACCATAATCTTATTAATTTCAAATCAAAAACATTTTTTAGATTCTACTGTCAATCAAAGCAAGAAAGGGCAAGGTTGTAATTTGTCAACAAAAATCGTACGATCAAAAAACACCAATCACTAGTAGAGGATAAAGAAAATTATATTTTAAAATTTCTAGTTTTAGCTTGACCGAAATAACCCTATAAATTCCTTCAATCCATCCATCACGCTGATTTAGACAGTTTAACTTTGTTAACCTTGATATACACCTTGCGTTTATCAAAAATGTGAGCAATGCTTTGATGAGTACAATTTTTAGTGATTCGAACCCACTTTCCCTTCAATAATAAAATGCTGAACGTTTTTGTCAGTTGGCTGAGAAATAGAGAGACGAAAACACCCTTATTAGCTTTGTAAACTATCAGAACAAATGATTTTTTTTTATGCCATACGTTGTCAAAGGCCTTACTCAAAACCCAAATATTACAAGTAACTCACTATTTAGCACAATCACTAAGCTGATATTTATGAGACTGTTCGAAACAATTCTGAACTCCTTCATCTTGCCACAGTTCTTGTGTTGTTGATAAAAATTCCTGAAAATAATAATAATAATATTGGTTCAGTATTGCATTACGTCGGATGAATGCGGTTGTCAGAATTATATATGACACAAATGAGCATACGATAAGACATGCTAATGCACAGTGAAAGTATGGAGTAAATCAATCAACAAATCAATCGCAAAAACTTAAAACGGAGTCCATAATAAACACAAATAAACAATTTAAAATCATATCTTTACTTACGTCTGTGATTTCTTGTTCACTGTTGCTGGCCTCGCGGAGCACAAAGTCTAATTTAGGCTGATTTTTTCCCTCCAAAACTGGTATAGATAAGTTCTGCATGGCACCAGAGATAGCCAATATGGCGTCACGAACATTTCTCTTGATGTCAAGAATCTTTGCTAATCGTTCTCTGAAAATAGACAAAAAGAAAATATAGAATTTAAGTCCGATAATGTGTTGACTTTTCAAAGCAAGTTGACCAACAAAATCCCGTGACATGTTTTGCTCATCTGCTAGAGCCAGTTTATACTTCATATCTGACCTTCTCTGGCGAGAGTCGTTAGTTTTACAGTAAAGATAATGCTATTTTGTAACTGTACACTTTATTTGGGAATTTTCGGTGACTTTGATATTTGACATGACAAAAGTTGTATGTAAATGAGGGTTCAGTCAGCTAATAATTTACTTTTGGAGGTAAGGATAAGTATGGCACAGATTTTGAATAAATCACAAAATGTTGTGATGTTAATGTGTTTTTTTTTTTCATTCCATGTTTGCTTAAAACTGATAAAAACCATCCAATGCTAATACTAGTTAATTAATTAATTTATAGGTTGCCTGACATCTAATTACCGTAATGCGACCAGAAACATTAAATAGTTATTCACATTGATCGTCTAGAATTCAATTCATCAGGAATACGCAATACATTAACATCGGGGACTTTCACATTTAAGACTTAATTCGTAAGTAACATGAAACGAGTTTAATGTTTCCATATTTGGAAACTCGTTTAAATTTTCTTTCAAAATAACGATTCAACTCATTAACCAAAGTCAAAATTCGGTCTGCTATTCAGAGAATGGCTTTTGGCGTTTCGAAAACTGGTTTAAAGCTTCTGAATGCATCTTGCTGTGCAGTGGAGAAGATTTATCCGGAGGGTTTGCCTGATATACATCTTTCAAATTAGTGAATGAAAGAAGTCAAACGCCTTTGGGATATTGTACTATGACATTAAGCAAGTCATTACTATAGCTCTAACTGTGATAAAAATATTACTCAACAGACTAAATTAGGCACTGGTTTATCACTTCAAAATTAATCAGATAACACTGTTACTGTATATAGATATATAATTGAAATCCATTCTTTAATGGTGTCATTAAAAGCCAAATGTAACCTAAAGCTCGTTTATAAAGATATCAAGTGAAGTTTTACATCTTACTTATTTGAACTCGTCGTAATTCATTCACACTTTGACTATACATGATCATTCACAAGTCACTATCATGAAATTATATTTAAAACACAGGCGTTTTAAAACTTCGTATCGTGTGTTCTTAAGAAGATTATAAAAAGTTTCGATTTATATTTTTCATGAATAGATTAATTAAACATAAGCTACTTACTGTTTATCAAAACCGTTTATGTGGATGATTTTCATCTGTTTTGTCAAAGTACTCTTGCCAGATTCTCCCGTGCCTGGAATATAGATAAATTACACGATACAATTTCATATCAAATCAAGGAACAACTTAAACGAGGATTCATTTCAAACATTTAAGACATTCTGTGTCGGTATTTATTGAATATCTTCAAACGCAGATCTTTGTAGCCAATTCTTAATTAAGACCGAGATAATTAGGCAAGAGATATATAACAAAATAAAATAAATTCCGAGTTACACAAAAAATGCCTCCTGGAAATTAGTTTCCTGATGCAAACCCAAAGGCGTTCGTGGTAGATACTGATTAACTCAGAACACACAGAGCCCTGCAGCTCTGGTACAAGACCATAGCCTACATTCACGAAAGTGCTCTCTTCCTTTGTGTTTTACGTTCAATTAAGAGTGATTTGCAAGAGGTCATATGTCACTAGTTCAGTTTTACAATTTAGACCAATTCCATGTAGCTATCATTTGCACTAGAAAGTACGCAAGTTTATAATGAACATTGATACAAATATTAGTTCCTTTAGACATGCACTTCCAGCAAAGCCCTAATGCCATTCTTTCGCGCACATGCCTTTTCCTATATACATTCAGTTCGTAAGAGTTGAACTTACCTAATAATAAAAGCTTCAATTTTTTCATTTCTTCATTGTGATGTTTGTTCAACAATCGAGTCAACTGTTTATCTCGCAGCCTGGCTCGTTTTGACTCCTCCGGTGTACTGTACAATCTCGTAGACTCTTCCACACACGATCCAAAGCAAGACATGACCTGGTCACGCATCTTGCACAGATATTTCGACTTTAGTAAGGTAATTTTGGCGGATTTCTCTTATACAAACAAATCTGAAGTGATAAAAAGAGTTCAGGTCAAAATGTGTACCACGTTGACTCCAGATGGTTCGGGCATTCTTCAAAGCTTTTGTTGATGATGGTGCAAACTCGGGAGATTTTCAAATATTGCGTAATGAAAATTCAGGTGCACAGCGTCACATTTTACAATCAAAATTTATAAGCTACATACTTAATCGTAACATAAAGGGACACCACAATAAATACCATAAAGACAAGGAATGGATTTAATGGCGGTCGGTCGTTAGCTTTTTTAGAAATGGAAGACTATTAACCGGTGTGATGTTGGCCTTCTCCAGTCAGTACTAAGCATTGATTAATCTATATCGGTACGTAAATCTCTTCTTTATATATCGATGTTGCATGCTCAGGGAACTCAGTTGCATGCTTATCTATATTAATGAATACAATCTACTAATTGCATGCTTTCCTCACGTTGTCGCACGTTTTACTTCATGTGCTTTTCATTTACTCATGGTGTTGCTGAAACTGTACGTCCAAGGAGGAAACATAGGGAAATAGGTATTTTCTGGTCAAAAATGAATAGAAGGAAACCACCATAGTCTACAAGAACAACTAAGGATCCTTTCTTTCAGCTGATCCCCGACCAAAGATGTTGTCAGTTTGTCAAATTGAATATCCTTACCAAATTACACAGATTGAATTGTTTCTAAATGTTTAAAAAATTGTCCACAAACTGCACATTTAACTCAGCTGTTGATATTTAAATGTATGTCTATGAAAAATCACCATAACATTTTAGAATTATTTTTTTTATAATACTTTCAAGTTTAAATAAACATGTTTCATCCTTTTTTGTCTCTATTTTCATTAGGTTAGTGAGTCATTCGTTAGTGATACTAATTGTCATTGTCACTAAAATACTTTCACGACCTTGTTATTTTAATTTTTGAAGAATTTACTAGGTCAATGACAATAAAGCTGGATTCACACGGGTTAAAAATCAACTTAGTTAAATTAAAACTATAAACGATATGGCTATGTTTATCATAACATGTTACATCAAACTATGACTGTCAATGAGTTGTCAGTTATTTAAAAATATTATTTAAAACAATGACTGAATAAATAAATATATATTGCAATGTATAAATAAACACAATCATAAAATCCAACATATGTTTTTATTCGTTATGATTTCGGTTAAGTTATGGAGATTTTTAAAGAAGGTTTTAATCTTAACTAAAATCGAGTAGTCAAATTTTCCCAATTGAAACTTTTCTGTTATTGCTACCTTGCCAATTGAGTGGTTATTCTATTCCAACTTCACATAAGACAAAAAAAAATAGACGTCACAATCAAAAAGGGCATTTCATAATACAGACTCATCAAGTTTTGCTCTTTATATCGGCTTGTGTAAAAGACGTGAACAACTCAAAATTTACTGAAACTCTACCCTAATACGTCAATGATAATCCCTTCGCCTTAATTCGAAAGTTGATGTGTCAAATGTCATGACAGAGTATTCATTGTCATTAGTTGGTGAATAATATCCACTGCTATAGTATGTATAGGTATTAAATACAATATTTCGAATACTTACAATGCCATATCATTTTTGGTCATCTGAAGATGACAATATCAATGGTCGAAACGTTGTATACAATTTATGTCATATACCCCAAATAGATCGCGAAGAAGTATTAGTGGTCTGTATCCATATGATAAGATTCTCGAATGAAGATTATTTCTACGATAACATTCAGATGTGGCGTTAAATAAGTCAATTCATGGTGATACGAATCCGCAATGGGGGTTTCTTAGATACAATATACCCCAATAAGGTTAATGGTAAGAAACACCTCCAATACACAATAGATGAAAACCCCAGTCATGTTCCGAGAAGATACAGAAATCTACCTGTAGGTTCCAACTTGTGAATAGTCAATCACAATGGAACTACCAAAACACATGTATCATTATAAGCCAGAAAGGAATATCAGGTAAACAAACCCGTTTATAGAACGGTGGCCCGAAAGAGTAAGAATATGTTGCCGTGCTGGTGATATAAAGTTGAAAATAAAAGATACTTACAAATAATGAAAATATTATTCCAGTTCAATGTAACACTCTTCTTAAACAGTATAGATAAAGTCAATTCTTATATTCAAATACTAATAATGTATAGTAATCCAATAGTCAGTGTTAATCAATTTCTTGCTGATATCAAAATATTATCTTAAATGTACGTATGTATATAATTTCCTTATATAGTCTAATTTTCAACTAAGCCACGCCTATTATCAGCATCTATATTCTTATTGGTTGTGAGTGTGATATGACGCTTGATATATAAACTCTATGCAAGGTTATCACCTTTAACTGATAATTTATAACGTTAGATGGTTTTCATATCGTCTATTTAATATTACCCTCAATAAAAACACTCAGTACAGTAATATATGTCTTTTTAACGGCAGTATACTCCTATGTTAAGGTGACTCATTCATCCAATGCAATGAGTTGGTCGGATTATCATTTGCCTGTTAATTAAATAACAGTAGTTTAAAAACTTATGGCCAAGGAATCACATCAGTAGTCAAGAAACAAAGACTTATAACTGATAAAGGAAATTTTATTACTTTTTTTCGAGGAACTGTTGACTGGAATTTTATCATGCACGTTATAAATTTAAAGTGACAAAAGTATTTTGATACATATTGATCGTAAGAATTTTGGAGAAAGGGGACCGGATTACATATTTTTCACATTTATATATTCAGTAAACTTAACAATATGATTGCAACTGTTACACAGTTCCAAGGTTATTTTTCAAATTGAAAATCGACAAGCAGTGACAAATTCATAGATAAATAACCATCGATGTCTATGCATCATAAGGTGAAAGGGTCACATAATTGCAAAGGGGGTTCACAGAACCAGGCTGTTCAGAACTCAATGATAAGAAATTCGAAAATGGGATGGTAGAGTAAAACCAGACCAGTCTTTCCCGGCTCCCTGTGTGAACGTCATCGAGAGTTTGCTCCAGCAAATCGTTTGAGGAATTACCTTCGAGTTGATAAACCAAAAACAAAACTTTCATAAATAAGCACTTTGGTTCCAAATTTAAAATCTTGAGTTCTTAAAAACTTTTTATACTGAATACGTCATAGTTTTCGTTCGTTTATGCCTTAAATAACCTAGTATACGTATACATAGATATAAACCACTAGAATTATATTGATTCATAATATACATATCATAACAATAAATACACACGTATGACGTCACAGTTATGTAAATTAGCTACAGTTTAATTCATAGCTAGTAATTAAAATATTTTATGATGGAAAACTTTGTTATATAATTAAATGTATATTGTAATATTTATGTTATATTTATTATACAATGTGCGCGAGTGAAGGAGTGTGTTACAACTCCCGTAAAAGCATTGTACAAGGTTGGATTATGTATTTAAAGGGGGTGGGGGGTGTATGTGGTATTCTTAAACACGAAAATGAAAATAAATTTTGTAAGTCCTTATTTATGCACCAGTATGGCGGAGATTTATGAAAATAAAAAACAAGTCATGTGAATCAATGGTCAATAGTAACCTATAAAAATTTAAACTGTGAAGTGAATTGATAGTTGGACATTGATGCCAATAGAGGTCGTACTCTATGTTTTATCAACTTCATCCGGTTAATTTTTTTTTAAATCAGTTTTTCAAATATCAAATTTTTTCGCTAACATTCAATTTCAATCTGGTTTAGACTAAATAACCATTAAATAACGGAACACCATTTTATGGTATACTACTCCTTAGCTTTAGTGCACACAAAGCTTCAACAATCTACATTGTCATCATCAGATGAAAATCAATTACTATTACGATCATATACATTATTGAAATTATACCAAGTAAATGTATGCATATACCAACTGTAAGTATTCCAATAAAAACTGCTATGAATAATGAGTAACTTTCAGCAGCTGGCCAATACTAAGCATGATTTCAGAATTCATTACTTTACAACAAAGCATTATAATAGGGAACTTTTTAATCATCTGCCGGTGAAACCGACAACAATTTCCATCATGAAAGGAATTTTAAAGAGGTTTTCTAAAATGTTTATGTATATCGAGGACACTGATAACATCAATTTGCACCATTCCAATTTTCAATCAGGTGTCTGTGGTTCCTGCAATTCCACTTAAACTTAGCGTCACTTATCGCGAAGGGCCTTAGTGACGTCATCAAGCTCCCTATTTAAGTGGAATTTTAGGAACCTTAGACATCTGACTAAAATTGGAATGGTGGAAATTGATGCTATCAGTGTCCCCGATACACATAAAACATTAAGAAAACCATTTTTACAAACCCTTTAAGACAGATTAATTGTTCATAGGGTTACATACTATATGTTCAATATACTACGCATTTCAGATCGATTCAAACAATTGCTGTAGTATAATTAAATTGATATAGCTTTTTAAAAATATTTAATGAAATTCTTCGTTTTCTAAAAACTGTAACCTCGATTTTTTTCATTCTTAATGTTTTTTTATACTCGAAAGGCATTAGAAAAAATGATTCATTATAATAGGACATTTCATATTTCTGAAAATGAAAAGAGATTGCGAAATTTTGTTCAAAAAATGACGATTGATTGATTGATGAGTGTGACACCACAAATTAGAAATTACAATAAATTTACGTTTTGGCTGAAATGTAGCGTGAGGTACAATCGTCATGCACCACACCGTTATTGAGTTTATGGACATAAATTGGGCAATCGTAGTTTCATGAGTCAAACTAGGTCAAGCAAAAAATTGAAATGTATATAGTCATTTTAAGGTTGAATTGCAACTAAATATTTTTAAATATAAATAAAATTGTTTTATTATGAAGTGAATCAGAACTTATTTGATGATTTGTTGTTTAGTGTTACCAAATATAGACTATATCAA